CATCCGTGTATTCCCCTTCCGATTCTATGGTCAGGTCGACAGCATTATCTGTTGTTCCTGGCCAGTCCGATGCGAGAGCAGATCCTTCGCACATGCAACCATCTCCTGTATAGGTGATGGGCATGCTCAGTGAAGCAGTAGCGGTAACCACCGCTGGTAAGGAAATTTCCTCAGTCTGCAGTCCCCTAGATCGAAGTTCAAATGCAGCACGTCTCTTCTGCGACACTTTACCCAAGACTAGCTCAGACTCCGAGATATCGTAGGTGAGCGGAGCACCGCATCTTTCTAGCGCTTCTTCCACTTCGTGCAGCCGGTCCAGGTCCAAATGGGTCGGCAAAACATATATGGGCGGAAGGTCGCTGAGGTTAATAGTTTCAGACAAACTGGCAGGCGATTTGGATTGAGTTATGGTAGTAGCCATGGCGCACAGGTGCAGCCTTAAATAGCCATTTGCCGTTGTGAAATGGGGGTTTGTTCCCGAACACGAACTACAGCGGCTCTGTAGTCTGCATGATCTGGAGACAGAATGAGACGACGATATTGACAAGTAGAGGGAAATATGAAGACGAGAAGAAGGCCCATGGCACACTCTAAACGCCTCTGAACATCAAAATTCAGTCGGTTTATTGATAAAACGGGGCTTACTTGGACGGAGGTTGGGCGGGGTCAGTATTAGTAGTAGGTATCCCGGCGCATCAGGGGCAGTCTAACCGGGAGGCTCAAGAGTGAGATGGCCACGTCCCTGGCACAGTAGGCTATTCTCGCAGATGGATAGATATCGTCCCAGAAGCCCGAAAGCTCCCTACTGCTACAGCACGGCCAGGTGGGATGGTGGAGAGAGAGGACTAGGACTAGGACTAGGATTCGTATCTTCTTGGCAACGATGATGTCGGCGGCGGGATGGATGCCAAGCCGACTCCCAAAAGGGCATTTCAAATCTACAAAACTATATAAACTAATCCAATATTGACATTCACAATATCAACCAGTCCCCCGCGTTACATAGTTGATCCTCATAGTATATTTATTGGTCAATTCAACCGCCGCTCCTCCACTGACACTCGGCCTACTTGCCCTTTTCCATCTTCTCCTCGGTCTCCCTTCAAACTTCCCATTCCAGCACCCGGGACTATACTAGTAGGAGAGGTTGTGGCAATACCGTCACCCGCCTCGACCTCTACTTCATGCCCTCCTTCTTCTTCCAAAGCCCCATCGACATTCTGGTCTTGCAGTTCATGCCGTTGAGCAACCCAACGCCTCCAAGAAGGGTACACCAGCACGCTCAACCCGCCCACTAGGATGAAACATCCACAGATCGACCCGCCAATTACATCATAATACTCGCCTGCAACCTCCACGCCATTCCAGAACCGTCCCGTCGCTTCTGTCACGTTAAGGATTAACGTCAGCAGTTGGATGGTGCCGATCACTGTAGCTACGATCACGGTAAGGGAGGTCAGGACAATGGAGTAATACAGGAACGCGATTGGGTTACGTGGGTTGCGGCTTGGGTTGGCAGTTGCCGCGTCGCTGGTGGTTAGTGGCTGTCCCGCACCAGACGACGGTGTGGAGAGGGTGGCACTGGACGAATTGACGGATTTGGACGGGAGAAAATTTTCCGCTGGCTGGACGTATAGGGATAGCATTAGGGCGCCATCTATGGTGTCAAGGAGGCACATTCCGGCTAAACAGGGGTGTGGCCTTTGAGTTAGCAATTTTCGCATTAATGGACATACGACGAAAGTGATGGTTATCCTACCTGTGAAAAGAAATGGGAAGATCAGAATCACCCAAATGCTTGTTCCGCGTGTAGCTTCGATGGACGAGATTCCTAGCAGTGCAACCTCCGATGAGGTATCGAAGCCCAGCCCGAAAAGGACGCCCAGTGGATACATTTTCCACGGCCTGACAAAAAAAATAACGGATAAGCATACAGAAGAACAAAAGGACCCCCCGGAACTCCAGATTGTCTTCTCAAACTAAATCATGCATAAAATCCCGACACCGACAAAAAGCACACAGATAACAACAGAAATTTAAAACCCACCGATCAATGAACTTGAACATGTTCTTTCAACACCCTAAACAATACACCTTTCCCCTCAACCTTTCCACACCTCATACTCCTGCCCTTCCTTCAAGCGAAGCATCTTTTTCATCTGTTGGACAAGTTTATATAGGATATACGCATTCATGATTCCGAGCAGAATCAGAAATGCAGAGCTGACCGAGCTCCCCAATGATGCCGCCGACTCTACTGTACTGGTCGAATTTCGAGGACACGGCAGTGGCAGTCGCGGCGACAACGACGGCTGTGATGATGACGATACTAGAGGGCAGGGCGGGGAGGTTAACTCGTGTTCAATATTCAATGTAGGAATTTAGCTTTGGATTTGTGTTAAGGAAGATATAGAAAAGAAAGGTTCCGGGGAATGGAATCTCACGTTGAGTGTCCCAGCGAGAAGAACGTCCCAACACTGACTGCTCTCTGACCAGTTGCCAGGAGTCTCCGAGTCATAAGGTCGATGGCCTAGACAATTGGGGCGAAGGATTGGACGTATGTGAGTACGCATATGTATATATATATATATATAGACATACATGCTTTACGTATGTGATATTGAGCATACCGAGATATGATCTGCGTCAAGCGCATGTCTTAAGCCTAGCGTATAGGAAAGCACGGCAGTGGATATCAGAGAGCTAGTATGTGTATCATTATTTTATCAGTATTTGGCATTCAATGCGGTTTCCGGGGTCTTTGTTATTTGCGCGAATTTCTAGCTTCTGGGTATCCTGAGCTTGTTTTCGTTGTCTGTCGACTCGAACGCTCAGGAATAAGGAAACCAGGGCATATCACTTACGGATAAAACGACTACATTCAGATTCAAAAAAAAAAAAAAAAAAAAGAAGAAGCCAAGATATTATTAGCCAATCTCAATCTCAATCTCCACGTTGCCATTCATTTTATAACCCCCCGCTCCAAGGAAAAGAGAAACATACCAACACAATCCCCGCAACCATCCATACAAAACCATTAACCACCGCAACAAGGAAAATGATACCCAGAGCCGCAAGCGGGATCTTCCGCAGAGCTGGCACACGGCTGTGCACCTTCTCCGCCTTGCCGGCTATGCCACGCCTGGAGGGTTTTGTGTTGCCGCCATCGCCGCCTTGGATTCGTTCTGGTTCCGCCGCCGCTTCGTCATATTCCAAGTCGCCGCCGCGTTCATTTTCTTGGGCCGCTACGGAGGCCAGCACAGGTGAGCTGGACGGTGGATTGTCGGTGCTTGACGCAGTAGCTGTGCGTTCCGCCATTGTTTTCGGTCGGCCCTCCGTCCGAGAAATGGAGCTGGGGCGGGGCGGGGCGGGGCGGGGCGTTTTATATCTGCGACAAGTTCATTTAGTCCGCCATCGTCAACAAAATATTCTTTTTATTTTAACTTACCGACAACGATGAAAATAACAATAATAAAAGAAAGAAACAGAAACGGATCTTTTATTTTTTTTACCGTTGATTTTTTTTGACGAGCAATCAGAGGTCCCAAAAATAAGTAAATGGTAAAAGTCGAGAAAGCCTATTAAAGATGCAGAAGCAGGTCGACACACGCAGCTTCCCTAGAGCTAATTGTGATGATGATGATGATGATGATGATGATGATGATGATGATGATGATGATGATGATGATGATGATGATGATGATGGAGTTTGCAGCAGCGCAGATAATCCTGGGTTGATCAATTTTCTTCTTCTCTTCAAAGGTTCTCTTTTTCTTCTGCTGCTGCTTCTTCTTCTCTCGTCGTTCCCCAATGAATCATTCAACT